GTTTAAGACAAAATCCATGTTGGAGTTAACTCCTCAACACTTTGACAACTTGGTGTTTCAACACACTTCCTTGTCCTTGTCGAGCAACCTGCTTCGACATAAGGAATTATAATTCAATAGAAGCTTGGGTTGGTCTTTAAACTTATTGGAATAGTCCCGCGTTCTTGAAACCTTCCTTTCAAAACAAAGTCAATTGAAGTTCAACAAGAGGCGGAACAGACCACACCTCAGGCCACAAGACTCATGTTGATGTAGCACTTTAGCTTATAAGTAATAAAATAAAATTTTGTGTCAATATTAAATTATTTCCAAGAACTTTAATGGGATGCCCTAGTGAGTTATTTTGAAAGACCCGTAACAGAAAAAATGGTGAATGGGTTTATCATTGTGTTTGCTTACGTGAGTTTTCATTATTTGTCGTCGTTGTTCACATTTTTATTTATTTGTTTAATTGTGTTTAGCACTGTTTTTGTGACTGAGTTATTGTTTGTTGATTTTGAATTTGCTTAATATTCTTTGTTCTGTAATTTATATAATCTAGTTGTTTTTCTAATTATGTTGGATTTTCTCATTTTGTGCGTTTTCTAGATGTTGCGTGATAGTCTTTATGCTAATTCTCTTCTTTCATGCTAGTTGAGTCAAACCATTTTGTTTATCAAATTTGTGTTTATGTTAACATGTGAAAAGTAAAACTTTATTAACTAGTAGTAACATGTTAGCCATGACTTCAAAATAAAAACATCATTATGTCATGAATAAAACTAAACTCATAGATCTTGGTTTCAGAAGTACTACTCCTTCATTTAGATCCATATATTAATGACATCCATATTAATTATCCATATATACATCATGTACTTGTTTCTCGTGAAATTTTTTCACCATTATCAATGATTTTGCAAACCAATTCACGCATAGGTTACAAACCACACTTTCTTTCTAGATTATATAATCTAGTTAAATTTTATTAACTAGACTATTTATCTTCTGATTCCCTTATTGTTTCTCCTTTTTTTTCTTCCTGTTTTACAGACAACATTTAAAGAAAAAAATGGAGATGATGTCTAGACCTTAGATGGCGGAAGCCTTTTTAAGTTATAGATAGAGTCTGTTGGGGGTCGTAGTCGTGGCCGGGTCTATTGAACATCAGATTTAGTTATCAATTTGAAACATGGATTCACATCCTTTATCCAACAAGCACAAAATCCCGAGGGATCTATGTTTGGCACATCTTTGGTATCAAAGAGAGCAACTAGAATTAGAGATGAACAATTGATCAGTGCTACGATAGACCAATTCTAAGAGGTTATCGAAGCTATTCGGACGTCAAATGAGGTTGCTTAGAAGGCAGAATAACAATCTAAAGTGGCTACCGAGTTTTCTAAGAAGATGGCGTGTGAAATGAATGCTTAATTCTGAAAAAGTTTGATACTAAAAATGATGAATACATTAGTTCCATAATTCAACCGTCACATCTTCACTATGATGACGATTTGGATGATTTGTCATTAAACGAAGATCAATCATATATTGTTAGTAGAAGTAGTTTCAAATGCATATTTTTTGGGACATTATCTTAAATGCACTTTGAGCTTTTGAGGTTGCTTTTTGTTGTAGATGTGACTATAATATTTTGTAGTTTCAATTTACTTTGATATATTTCAGTAATTGTTACTTCGAATGTGTTTATGATGTCAAAGCATTGTGCCTTTTTGCTTCTGAATTATGTGTTATTGTTATTCAAATTTCATTTGCTTATTATCTATATTATGTTGCATGTGTTTTTGTTCTTTGTTTTTTTTTTTAAAGAAAAGACATGAGATGGTTTGTGATCGTAATGAAACTGATTTAAGGATACACATATTTGACTGCTATCATATCTGCACATGTTATATTTGTTTCTTCCCTTTCTCCTACATTGATAATGATTCTTTGTATGTGTTTTCATGGGTACTATGATGATATGTAGGTTGTGGTGAATAGCATCATCAATGAGTGATAGGATTCATGGCCAATGCCTCAATAAGTACCAAAATTGTTTATGTTATGTCTTGTTTGTATCAATTTAATAATTTGATGTAATGGTTGATTTATGCTCTGTTTGTACTCTGTTGATACGCAGGTTGATTTCTGCCTTCTGCACTATCTGTATTATCAACTGTGGTTTTCAGTATTCTCAACAGATAATGAAATGTTGTACCACTGATCATCTTAAGACTAAAATAAAAAATGGAGAATCTAGTTGATTAAGTTAAGGGATATTCTCAACTAATTATTTTGAAAATTTTTTGTAGGCCAATCAACTTACCACTTTCATTTGACATTCTTGATTTATCAAACATGATAATTATATGACATGCTTAAGTTTGATTTGTTCATATTTAATATGGTGAAATTAATGCATGGTTGTTTGTGAAACTCGTGTTTTATTTGAGTGCCCTTCCTCTCACATACTAGTTGATTAATGTAAATGGAAATCTGTGAGGGAAAACTCCTTAGGTGAGCTCTTACATCATTTATTTGACGACTTATTTTGCTATTGTACATGATGTAGAAGTTAGAGGCACATGCCTAATGTTTTATATGTCAAGGTGTCCGAGCACATATGTCAGAGTATCTTTTGTGGCAACTTTGATGGTGACAAAATGCAAAGTCTTTTGGGTATGGTTCTTATAATTTGAAAGGAAATAAGTCTAGGACTAAGCCAATAAGAGGTGATTTTTGGAAGATTAAGTTGTGTATAAAGTGGTTGAATACTGGCAGTTGTCCCTTTGGTGTCAATTGACTACAAGGTTAGGCATATATCATTCAATAGAGAAAAAAATGTTGTCAATCTTTCAAAACATGAATGTTCATGTAGAAGATGGATTCTGACAGGGCTATCATGCTGCCATGCATTTTCATGCATGACAGATCAGTAGTTAGAAGTTGATGATTTTGTGCCTGATTTTTACAAAAAGGATTGCCATGAGGCTTGCTATGTACTAGTGCTATATTCAATTAATGGGGAATATCTATGGACAAAAACATATGTTATTGATTTACAATCATCACCCATAAAAAGGAAACCTGGTAGACCCAAGAAGAAAACAAACAAGGAGGCTAGAGAACAAGTGAGAAATGAGTCACAACTCAAACAAGCAAAAATTGGTGTCAAATGCAATCAATGTCATAGGGATGGTTACAACAGGGCCACATGCAGGCTGCGTACACCTTCAACTCAGCCAACATCACACACAACTTCAACTCAGCCAACACTAGCTGCAACTTTAACTCAGTCAACACCATCTACTACTTCAACTCATCCAACACCAGCTACAACTACAACTAAGCCAACACCATCTGCAGCTTCAATTCAGCCAACACCACCTGCAACTACAACTCAGCCAACACTGTCTGCAGCTTCAACTCATCCAACACCATCTGCAACTTCAACTCAACAACCACCCAAAAAGAAAAGAAGACTTCAATAAGGTCTAAAACATGTTTTGAGCTAACCCTAATAATTATGCTTTATTGTTTTAACGTGTACTCGTTGATGTAATGACTTATAATTCCACTTTGTAGCTTATGGCTTATAATACCATTTTTGTCTGTCATATGGCTCATAATGCCTCTTTTATAGTTTATGCCTTATAATGACAATTTCTTTAGCTTGTGGCTTATTATGTTACTTTTGTCTGTCATATGACTTACAATGCCTCTTTTGTAGTTTATGACTTAGAATGACAATTTCTGTAACTTATAACTTATAATGTCACTTTTATGTATCATATGTCTTATAATGCCTCATTTGTTATGGTTATGTTACACAATTCCAAATTATATACAATTCTGTTCTGATATGTTCATGGGACAAAAATTGTGATTACAAATTGCTTATGCCATATACAATTCATGGGACACAATTATAAATTCATGACACATAAATACATTAACTCATGACAATGTTGATTACACTAATAACATCGTGACATATACATTTCACTCATAAACTCATTACACAAAAGTACATTTATAAACTCATGGCAACACAAAACACAAACTTATGACATATAGAATACTTCGCTGACAAATAAAATTTCAACATAAAAATACATTGTTACAAAAACAACATTCAACATTAAAATCAAAATCTCAACCACAATAGACATTTTCAACAATCCTTTAGTGTGGATAACCTGATCTTCAATTTGTAAATTTTCTTCTTTTACATTTGAATCTTAAAATCCCTTTCATCAACAATTTCGTCATCTGACCACTTGAAGAAATTACAACCCATATTCATATGATTTCTATAATTTCTACAACCCTAAAATTTCCTCCAAAAATTTACACAATTTATGTCATCCATAATACGAAGGACAATTCATCATGGCAATAACATTCCTTCCTTTTGTTCTTACGAATAATAGATCCAGTTGTTCTAATGGAATCACTACTTGACAACTTTGACCATGAAAATTTTTACAACCCCATAAATGCAACTTTAAGATCCAGAGAGATGGAAAGAAACTTAAACACAAGCTTGAATATAATGTGTATACAAACACAAGAAAAAAAATCCTAGAAAAAAGATGAGATTGAGACTAGAATTAACTTAAATCAAATTTCTAAAACCACATTTTATATCATGAATAAAAGAATAAACATATTTGATTTAAGTGAGAAAAAAGAAGAGTAATACTAACAAAAACTAATTTTATGAGACCAAATTATAATTTTTTTTAAAGGACTAAAGGTAACTTTAATTCTTCAAATTTTAAAGTGATTAATTATGCCCATTATTTATTACCTTAGTCGTTTAAATTCAAACGAACCGAAATTGGAATTTGAAACCCTAGGCGAAGCGCTAGTCTCGCGACCGTTTTGCTTACTCTTATTTTTCCATCACCAGGTTCGTAACACACTCTTCAATTTCGATAGAAACAAACCCTAACATTGCCACCGAACCTAAAACCTAACCTAATTTTGGTTCATTTTTTGAGTTTTCAGTGAAGATGCAAGGAACCGCCGCCGACGGAGAAGCTTTGGATTTCGAGCCGGAGGATGATGACTTGATGGACGAAGAAGGTGCTCCTGATGCCGAAGCTTCACCGCCTCATCCCAAGCTCAAATCCGCCATCACCGCTTCTTCGAATCTCTCCGTTCCCAAAAAAACTAAAGGTCGTGGTTTCCGTCAGGATTCTGATTCTGCCGCTAACCGTAACTCGCGTCTCACTGGTTCCGGTTTTGATACTCTTACTGCTGAGGGCGGTCCTGGACCTCAAAGATGTTAGTGTTTCCAATTTCCAATTTAATTGCGTTTTTTTGGGGGGATTTTGGTTGTGGTTTTTAGGTTGTTACTGTTAAATGATGTTGATAATGCAGCCATTGAAGGATGGATTATTTTGGTGACCGGTGTGCATGAAGAAGCTCAAGATGATGATTTGCTAAATGCGTTTGGTGAATATGGAGAGATTAAGAACCTTAACTTGAATCTTGATCGCCGTACTGGTTTTGTCAAAGTATGTCATTAATGCTCTTTCACTTTATACTCATTCTTTCTTGTGCATTACACTCATTGATTAAAATTGACTAGTTTCATGGATACTGTGTTGTCATGAATTGATGTTAAAAGATGTTTTGAAGTAGGTCTGTTAATGAATACGGATGGGCTAATGTTAGTATAAGTGACTAACGGGAATATTTAATCTATATGGTGCTACTTTATAGTCGTTAAAGCCTTGAATTGCTGATACATTTTGATGATTACACTTTTATGGTATCATTTCCATGGTTGTCAAGATCTCGATCTAGATCTTAAAACTCTTAAGATTTTACAAAGTTTGGGGTCATAGATCCATGGGCTAATGTTAGTATAAGTGACTTCACTAGAAACCCTGCTTCGCCTTCTTCCAATGTTTGGCCACAACCCTCTTTTCAAAAGAGTCCAATGAGTCCAAAGTTTAATCCTTTACTCTCTTATGAGAATATCCAAACTGGTGTTGGTACTTCTGCTGGTTCTTCTTCTTTCTCACCAAGGGTTAATAATGGTGGTGATTGTGAATTTGTTGATGAGCAACAACTCAATGAGTATTTTCCTTTTCTCAATGAGTCATCTAATGGTGACGATTTGGTTGATCCGCGTCTTGAAATGAATCCTGGCCCTCAGAATTGGATGTCTGCTAACAATGGTGATGCTCAGAATATCCATAGGAGGAGTTTTTCTGCAAGTGATGCTGGTTTTGGTGTCGAAGAGAGTGGAGTAGGATTTGGTTTTAAGCCATGTCTTTACTTTGCCAGAGGGTTTTGTATGGGGTCATAGATACAAATAAAAGTGTAATCATCAAGAGTTTTAAGATCCATGGCCGGCTACACCAAGTTTGGTATGGGGTCATAGATACAAATTAGAATCATTATCTCCAAGTTTGGTATGCATTCATTGATACTAATTAGAATCATTATCTCGAATCAGGATTCAAGATGAGAGTTGTTCAGAGTAGATATAGTCTATGTTAGCGATAACACCACAATTGCAGAATTACCGAGTGGAAACTACCTATGCTATGGCACGTTGTATTTGCTTTCAGCGTTTAATAGCTGTGGTGTTTGCAGCCGCAACTGACGGCCGAATAGCTGTTTCAGGCCGCATTCAATACGAAGAACAATTTTTTTCCATAATCGACCATGATAAGAAACATGATACAAAAAGAAATGAAGATGAAGCTGGATAGTGCAGGGGAGCAGCAGACAGCTATACACATAGGGCTGTGGTGGTAGAAGAAACTGCTTGCAACTTTTTTTTGAGAAGATGTAGTTCCAGCTTTAAGGTTTGAGACGAACCTCAATAAAGATGAAACCATTATTGACAAAACAATTACAAAGGAGCAATGTTACCTAAACAAATTGAAAAAAGAAAACTTCAAATTAAAGTGAAATATTAATACTAAAAATTACTTTAACATGTCTAATAAATAAAAAAAACTGAAACTACAATTATTTATATAAATATAGAGTACAACAACAACAACCAAGCCTTATCCCACTAAGTGGGATCAGCTATATGAATCAACTTTTGCCATAATGTTCAATCCAGGACAATGCTTCTATCCAAATCGTATAAGTATATAGTACAAATGACTTTAAATAAATATTTGAATGACTTATTTAATTACTTATATAGTATTAATTATTATTTATTTAATAATTTAATAAATATAAATATGTATTAGAATATTGCCTTTCCCGCCATCAGCTAAACAAGTATCCAATTTTTTAGTCAGCCCCCCCTGCTGCTATCTGATATTAACAAAGGATATAGTGGTACACACACACACACACACACACACACACACTATTGTATCATATTGATATATGACTCACTTTTATTGTAAGATATATGACTCACATTTATTGTAAAATATAGTTGGTATGAAAGGTGGTTAGCAAAGTATAGTATGAGTGAAAATTGTTCTGTGGTTAGCAAAGTAAAGTGTGCGCAAAAATTGTTCTAGTCAGGGATTAAACTTGGATACTCCCAATCAATTCAACCTTACTCTCATATCATTGTACTGTTACTTGGGATTAGCTTTCTATTTCATGACTGAACTCTGCTTTTCTGCAGACGTTTATTTAAGCTGTTACTTTGGGGGAGCAGATGGTTGTTAATTTGCTTCTCATGGATATAAATTTTATAAAATAACTTGACCGCATACCATGATAGTATATTTTCTCAAATTGATGTTGCTCAATGCATTGTTGATCTTTAAAGGGTTTAGTGGAAGAAAGATATAATCCTTCCTAACCAGTGATTGTTGTAGGTTATTATCTTTTCTTATGTTTTATACTGTAATGATGATTCTTTTACTCTCGTTGGCCTCTTTCCCTGCTTTGATCTCGTCCTATTTTATTAAGAAAAGTTAAGCTTCTCTTTTGTAGACTACTTGTATTTTAGTAAACATGGTTGATCCTTGTTGAGGTAAATTTTGACGTGTTATCTGTTTCTATATTTATACAGCACTGATTGATGTTTTAGTATCACTTTCAGAAATTTACCTAGCAATTTCTGTTCATTTTTGTACCTGCCAGTCTATCACGTGAATGTTTTGGTTTCTATACTAATAAGCATTTCTATTTTAGGGTTATGCACTGATTGAATACGAGCGTTCTGAGGAAGCACGAAATGCAATAGAGAATTTGAATGGATCTGAGCTTCTTACACAAACCATTTATGTTGATTGGGCTTTCAGCAGTGGACCTATTAATGAGTCTGTTAAAAGAAAGAATGCCAGGTATGTTTTTATGTCAACAGGGTAGTATGTTGTTTCACAACATTATTCTTGAACTAAGTTCCATGCAGTGTTGATTTGAGTTTTACATCATTTATTTGAGTTGGTATTTTTTATTACAATAACCAAGTCTTATCCCACAACTCACAAGGTCTGGCTGGCTACATGGATCAACTTGCACTTTTACTCGATATCATAGTTCATGCTTATTACCAAAGTCATTGGCCTCTAAATATTTTGTAAAAGTTTTGTAAGTCTTATCCCACAACTCACAAGGCCGGGTTGGCTACATGGATATCAACCTGCATTTTTACTTGATATCATAGTTCATGCTTATAACAAAGTCATTGGCCTCTAAATATTTTGTAAAAGTTTTGCCGATGGTTTTTCTTGCCCTTTCTTTGCCTCTAGCAATTAGGTTTCCCTTTATCCAAAGTCCAAACCTGGTTAGTCGAGATTTCATCATCTTTTCTACGGTAGGTGCTATCCAACTCTCTAATGCTATCATCTGCAATCATACACCTTATAGTCTTTTCAAACATCCGATACAACATTCTCGTCCATCCTACACTTAGTTCTTGCTCACATTGTTTTTTTATTTTATTTTATTTTTGTCATTCAATACTCTGTCCCATACAAACAAACCTTCTTTGGAAAGAGCGACAATACTGACACTGTTAGTAAAGAAGAGTATAGTTTAGGACAAAATTTTCTTTTTTCCTCTAGTGATATTGTTTTCTCACATAAAATACATGACCCCTTTCTTCATGTCAACCAATATGTTTGAATCCAATAGTTTACATCTTCTATTTCTATGACGTTTTGCCAACACAGACTCCCTTAAAAAGGTTGAGCTGTGTGTTAGATAGTCTGTTCTTAACATTATTTGTTTGGAGTAGTGCTAGTAACACATCCTAACACTCTTTTGTATTGGTTAAAATTCATAGGGGTTCCACCAAATTTATGTTGACTCGCATAATTTGGTGGCTCCCAAAGAAATTTCAACCAATAGTCAATAGTAGAGTGTGTTTGAGTGTGTTTGAGATGTTGGTGTTAGAGAGTGTGTTCCAAATATTATTTGGTAGGAACACATATCCTACTTCATTGTTGCTTGGTGTCATCAGAAATTAAAAGGGATATTGTATAATTTTCTCCTCTGTTAATGGATTGAAAAATTAAGCCATGGTGTATTGATCTGTATTACCATTAAACGATTTGCATTCCAACTTTCAACCTGTTTATTATAACTTTTCCTTTCAGTTCTGTTATGTAGATGCTAAATGATATTGCTAGGCCTTTCACCATCTAAATACACCCTGTTGTAAATCCTTAGTTTTTATATGCTTTTTAAACAACTGGCCTGAATTTCAGCTAGGTGAAAAAGTTTGGGATTTAGATCAATTTTTTATCTTATACTTATCTGAAATTTAGCATTTGAGTCTTTAGAACTTTGACATTTTGCAGACCACCTCAGCGGCGCTCCAGGAGTCCTCCTCGGAGGAGATATTGACAGGGTCTGTATTAATCATGATGTGAGTTGTAAGAAACCTTCAAATGGGCGGTGTGATTTCTGTTTGTCCAGTTATGGAAGCTTTTCCCTATATACTTATGTTGCTTCCGTCAGGCCAAATACATATGGTGTTTTTTTTTGTATTCTTCTTTCTTTATATAAAATTGCTATGGATTCTTATCTTACATCATTTGTTGTATGTTATTAACTCGTAATTTATTATGTATGATGTATTGTGTTTTAACATAATAGTAATGTGACGATGAAGGTAGAATCTCTTTTGGATTTAATCTTGTGTGTGGTACACATGAATGAGTAAAGTGAGCCAGCGTGTTTCTTTTTCTCTCAAAGGAGGCATTTTTTTCCGCCCATCTTTTTCTTTGCCTCATGTTATGTGCTTTTTACATGATAAAGTTTACTCTTTCTGGCTATGTTTTGTGTCAAAGGGTCATTTTTGTTGCAACATCCTCTAGTAGGTAGCTTTCAAGGATTTTTGTCTTCTAGTTTGTAGCATAGCCTGTGGGTCCTAATTTAAGGGTGGTAGAATTGTAGATTTAGTGTTTAATATAACGGGTTAACATATTTAACCTCAAATTTAGAGGATTAGATTGATATAAACAAATCATAACCTATTAGAGTGTCTGGCTTAATTTTAGCATACATTTGAGTTAGAAAGTTTACTTTTTGCTAGATTTCTTCCCTGAGTCGATTTCTTAAGGTGAAAATAGGTTTTTCTTAGTCAAAAATTAAAAGGAAAGTTTGGCTCAAAATTTTAGCAAACTGTTGGATGAAAGATGACGTAAATTTGTAATAGGATACATCATATATCTGTTTTATCACCTGATTCCCTGAAAAATGACTTGTTTTTTTCTTCTTTTCTTATTCAGCCTCGAGATAAGAGCACATATTGCCACTGTTTTTGTGTAAAAAAGGTTTGAGGTTTAAATAGATGTATCTGCTTGGTTTCGTGTTAGCACCTCAAATCACACTAAAAAACTACATCATATACAAAAAAACGAAAAAATAATTAAGCAGAACTTTTGAGTTGATGTGGTTTTCCATGTGATTTTGATCAAATTGATGAATATCCAGACACATGATTTTTAATGTACTTTTAAGTGGAGTATATAACTTTTTAATCTTTATCAAGGAATTTAAGAGATTGTATTTTTGGAAAGTGTATGTTGTGTATATGGTATGGTATACATAATATACAATTGTGGTACTAACAATGATTACATGTATTTCTATGGATTCATCTATGGATTGAATTTATTACATACACTATTAGTGTAAAGTTTTTCCTTACACAGTCAATCAATTTTAACAATTTATCAAATATCAATTTATTTCTAACTCACGTTTCATTTTTTAAAAGTAATTCAAACAAAACCCATTTTTTTTAATCAAACCGATGAAAGCCGTTTTATTCAATTTTCGATTTTAGTTTTTAGGAATTTAAAAACTGGTGAACCGAGCCGACTATAGTTACCCTTCTTTGTGTTTCAAATTATATTGATTACTTTTTAGAGTTTTCTTTTAATATTTTCCCCTCTTTTTCCTTATGTAGAGAAATTTTATCTAATTTAAAAAAAAAATTAATAATTTTGATGTATATTTGAGGTTCAAGCATGTTAAAATTTCAACTTTTTATTAATGTTGGTGTGTTTTATTTGGTAGTGTTTTATATGGATAAGTACAACTTGTAATTGTTTGAAAAGTGTTATTCTCAGTTGAAATAACCAAATTTGATTGCTGTTCTTAAGTAACATTTTCTCCCATATTGATTTGGCTTTTGGATTCTATAATTTGATTGCTTTCTTGGATTCTATAATTTGATTGCTTTCTTAAGTAACATATTGAAAATGAACAAAAGTCGTCTTAACATGAATGTCTGAAAATATCTGAAACTATAATAAATATTGTATATAATTATTCACTTAACATGAATATTCAGTATGTAATATATTTGTTACGTAATTACATGCATTTGTTTCTTATCTTGATTGACATTATTTAAATATATTTTCAAATCAAATGCATATTTATTTTTTTAAAAAGAAATTATACAAAACAAATAAAAAATAATTTATTTATTAATATATATTATTATTCTGATTTTTAATATAATTTTTTATTTAAGTTTTTAAATTCATTAAAAAATTAACTAAGAACAAATTGCATGTAACTGTGTGGTGTTAAAAAAAATAACAAAATTATCATAAATATCATAGTATACAACTCTTCACTTGACATGAATATTCACACTAATGTTTCTATCATGTAATTACATGGATTCATTTTTCATTTTGGTTGACATTATTCGAATATGTCATTAAATTAAATGCATATTTTTTTATACGAAAAAAATAAAAAAATTATTTATCCATTAATATATATATATATTATTACTCTGGTTATTAATATACTTTTTTATTATCTTTTTTATATTCGTTGAAAAATCAATAAAAAATAAATTATGAACAAATTTCGAAAAATAAAACAAGTTATGATAAATGTTATAGAATACAACTCTTCATTTAACATGAATATTCAAAGTTACGTTTCTGTCACATAATTAAATGCATTTATTTCTCATCTTTGTTGATATTATTCAAATGTGTCTTTAACTCAAACACATATTGTTGGAACTTTAATTAATTAATGGTGGAACTTTAATTAATTATAGTGGGAATTGGAAACATTTGTAGACAATTAATGAGCAATAAATGAACACAAGTGAGAACTAATATAGAAGTGAATTTGAAAAGATTCATTTTAGTCTCACATTGAAGGGAATGGAAATATTAGTAGTGTTTATATATTCCAACTTTGTCTATTGGGTTGGGCCCTAAAGGGCACCCAATTTTGTGAAAGAAGTGAGGACACACCCATGACCAACAAGACGCGCGCCGCCGCCGTCCGGCTCGGTCCGGTCCGTTATTTTTTGGACCCGAATTTATATAATTTAATTATCATTAATTAATTAATATAATTCGGTGGAAAATTAATTAATAATAAATATTAATTAATTAAGAAAATAATTGGTCAGTCAGTCCTCCACGAATTTCTCAGTCTCCAACCATTTTCTCCACTCCCCACGAATTTCTCAGTCTCCCACCATTTTCTCCACTCCCCACGAATTTCTCCCCACTCAGGTGCAGTTTGCTGCCTATAAATACAGGGTAGAAATTCAGAAGTGGGTACATCGGATTTCACAAATTCACACGAATTTTGATTTCCCTCTTCTCTTTCTCATTTCTCTTCATCTCAAAAACTCTCTTTTCTTGACTGGTTATTTTCACCAGATACTTAGACAGGTGTATTTCTAGAGCGATTCATCAGTGTGCAACTGATAATCGTAAGTTGTTTGAACGGGCTGTTTTATCCTGGAGGCGTCGTCGTAAATTCGACTGCTTTGCATAATTTGGCAGTACGGCGAAACGTCTTAAAGAAAGCGACCTAGTACGCGACTCGTCCCGATAATTTCCTTGTGCTAAACTTTAATTTTCAGATCCGAAGAACAACAATTTAAGACGTTTTCATAACTGCCATGGCAACTGAGGAAATTATCGGTACTACTGCGGCCGCTTCGGTCTCTGACAAACCTTTCAGGTTTGAGGGTTCCAATTTCAAACGTTGGCAAGCTAAGATGAAATTTTTCTTAACTCTGAAAAAGGTTGCCCACGTTCTGACTGAGGATATCCCGGTTGTCCCTTCTGCATCATCTGAACTACCTAACGGTAACTCACTTGCAGATTCAGACGGGACTTCCAAAATATCTGACTCAGATGCTGCAAAAGCTAAGGCTGCAGCAGATGATCTACAGCTCCGAAAAGAAATCGCCTTATGGCACGAGAATGATTATCTGTGCAAAAATCAAATTCTGAACAGCCTTGCTGATGATCTGTACGACTACTACAGTAGCTACAGGACTGCTAAACAGGTTTGGGAGGCTCTGCAAAGAAAATATGATACTGAAGAAGCAGGTGCGAAGAAATTTGCTGTCAGCCGCTACTTGAACTACAAGATGGTGGATGAGAAGTCGGTGGAAGCTCAAAGCCACGAAATACAAAAGATTGCTCATGAGATCATTACAGAAGGTATGCCCCTCAATGAACAATTTCAAATTGCTGTAATTATTGACAAACTGCCCCCTGGTTGGAAAGATTTCAAAAATGTGCTTCGTCACAAAACAAAAGAATTTTCAATCGAGAGTCTGATAACTCGCCTCCGAATTGAAGAGGAGGCTCGGAAACAAGATCAGAAAGAAGAAGTCTTAGTTGTGTCTAACAACAAAAAGAAATTCGGTGCGGTTCTGAAGCCTACGGGCAAACCTTTAAAGAATCAGAACCGCAATGCTATGAACCGAACTAAGAATGGGAATCCCTCTAGGGCCCCATCGGCTCCATTTGCTAAGCAACAGCCACCACCTCAAAGAAATGATGCTCCGGTTTTCACTTGCTATAATTGTGGGAAACCGGGCCATATGGCAAAGAAATGTAGGAGCAGGCCTAAACCTGCAGCTGGCTCAAATGCTCAGGTCAACCTGACTGATGAGCAACTCATTGCCATGATCACTGAAATCAACATGGTTGGTGGAAGTGATGGTTGGTGGATAGACACTGGCGCCACTCGTCATGTCTGCTATGATCGTGCTATGTTCAAGACATACATGAATGCTGAAGATAAGAAAGTGTTGTTGGGAGATGCTCACACCACTAATGTTGCTGGAATTGGAGATGTTGAGCTGAAGTTCACTTCAGGAAAGACTTTGATCTTGAAGGACGTCATGCATGTTCCTGAAATTAGGAAGAATCTTGTTTCTGGTTTTCTTTTGAATAAGGCTGGGTTTAGTCAAACTTTAGGGGCAGATTTGTACACCATCACTAAGAATGGTATTTTTGTTGGAAAAGGGTACGCCACTGATGGCATGTTTAAGTTGAATGTTGATTTGAATAAAATTTCTCCTTCTGTTTACTCTGTGTGTGACTTCAATA